ATCACCTGTCAGTCACTGCTGAAGCTGTATGTCACTCTTTTTAAAAATTGATCATATGACACAAAGGTCAATTCCATTCAGTTCAGTCCTTTCTGATCCTCGTGAGAAAATTTTTTTTCTTCTGCCACTGGAGGTTTCTATTTTTTTCAAGCTGAAACAATTTGAATGGACTTTTCTCCACGTGATTTGTTGTTTTATTCTCAAAAAGGATGAGGAAGGCATGATTGTGAGTGGTATTCTGGTGATGTACTAAGATGGGTACTAAGATGATATTCAGGGCAGCAGGAACACCTACTACAAGGATCTTTCTCCCTAATTGCCTTGAAGTATTTTGTTTAAAGAAACTACTAGTTTAAAGCTGGATCACCTCTGAACAGACAAAACCAAGAGATAAAAATCGATATGAAATAGTAACAACTCTGATGAAGTACTGTAGACCAGTGGTCCCCAACCTTGGCCTCCAGATGTTCTTGGACTCCAGCTCCCAGGAATCCTAGCCAACAGGTGGTGGTGAAGGCTTCTGGGAGTTGTAGTCCAGGAACATCTGGAGGGTCAAGGTTGGGGACCTCTGCTGTAGACTATTACTATGTTTCCTTGGTATATGTGTACGTGTTTGTATATTACGGAGAACTTCTGAAAGCAGTCCCTATTCCCTAATTCCAGGCAGTATTTTAAATAGCCCACCAGCTTTACAATAATCCATAAAAAAAATCCAGGGATTAACAGAAAGTGGGATCAAAGGGAAGACGGCTGTGGGGTGGATCAAACTGCATCAAATTGAGGGGCCAATGTGAAGGCTGGCACCAAAACAATCTACAGTCTGTGCGACCACCTAATCCAAACAGAAGTGTAAAACAGAAGTGAACCAAGCTTCAGCAAAGCCTAATCACTCCAATTCAGCTTGCTAGTGTAGTCACAGCCTGAATGAAGAATGAATCCAAAGCAAGGTTTGATTTTGTGAAGCAGCTAAGATGGAGATCAATAGTAACAGGAGTGGTCTGTAAAAGCAGACTTTCTTACCCAGAACATGCCATTGACAAGACTGAGGAGTTCTGCGCCCTAAATTAGGCCTGGATGGAAGAAGCTCCTCCTCTCTCACAGGAGGAAAGCACATTAAAGACTTAGGAAAAGCATCTGGCTGTCTTCAAATGCATCTGACAGAAGTCTGCTTCAAGTCTGAGATTCCTATCTCTTTGCTAATCAGAAGAGCTACCCCTAGGAGTTCGCATAATTCCATCACCAACTGCCCTGCAACCTGACTGGGTTTATTCATCTTCTGCCCTTGTTTTAATAACTCAATTGACACATCAAAAATTATTCATTGATCTCCAAATCAAAGAAGTCTTTGAAGAACTGAGGAAGGTTAAGAAGATGTTAAATTGGCATTGATCGTTTAAAATACACCCAGCACTTAAGTGATAAATTCCACTTTCACACACATGCACAAATGCATGCTTGTCTACACACACACACACACACACACACACACACACATAAATAGAGGTTGCACATGAGGCATTTTGCTTAGATGTTGTTCTTTGTTTTTTTAAAAAAAAAGAAATTGTATTTGCTGTATAAACTAGAAACAATGTCTTTCTGACTGGTTCCCTTTTGATAGTGACATTTGACTGAGCTCTCTAGACTGCCTGTGCAAACACACACACACACACTACACACACACACACATACAGAGAGAGAGAGAGAGAGAGAGAGAGAGAGAGAGAGAGGAGAAACCGATGTCTTCATGTTCACCAAAATAAATTAGATTGCTTCCTATATTTTAATTAGCACTTCATGTTATCAGTTTGTTATAGAGGAAGGCAAATTCCTAAACTTGGGGCAAATCCAAGTACTTAGATGCTTAGAAAATAAAGAAGTGAGCAAAATCACAAGCAAATGTGAGAGATCAAATGCTCAACTGAGCACAAAGTCATTTTTGTTCTTGACATCCTGGAAAACAAATGAAACGAAATATCTTATTTCTTGTCCTGAAAACTACACACATCCAAAGATAATGGGAATATCCAGTTTCTATGTTGTTGCAGCTTGATATCTATCTTTTTCAGAATGAGCCTCTAACATATGTGTCAACCACCCTACATCTGGATGAGGTTGGCTGAAATATTATTATTTACAGTGAAGGAAATCTGTTCTGCTGTTCTTCAGCAATCCCCATAATACTAAAATAAGGTTATAGTAGAAGGTGAATACAGGCAAACATAATGTTGAAGAGCCACCTTATTGAGGAAAGAATGTATTCAAAGAATTTTGACAAGAGCAGACATGCATTAAATTCTATACTAGTAAAACAGATTAGGTCTGAAAAAATAGGACAAAGAATGCCTCCAAAATACCATGGTTGAAAAAGAACCATCACTTTCCACTCAGACTAATGTCTATCAACTAGAAGGTTCTGTCTAAAGTTTCCCATTTGAATTAAAATACTTGATTTGGTGGCATATACTTTACAGATACATGTACAAACTATGAACACATAATGTATATGATATAACATTATTTGGATCACTTCACTATCACAATGACTTCCCTTTCTTGGGTTTAGAAAAGTGCTATGTCACATTTTCCTATAATATTCTACCTGCATTTATTTTCTCCCATATTCTTTTGCTAATATAAATTGGCTAAAACTGGTCAGATCAAGATATATGCATATCTGGATGCTTGTTAACTTATGCAAAGAACACATGTGCTAATATAATGGAAGATACTAACTGTGAAACACAAGAGATATATTGTTGGAGAATCATGAAATGTGGTTGCCACAAACTATGGTTCACGTGCCCTATCACAGTCATTAAACAAAATAAAGCTGCAAAATAATGTTCATTTGAGAATTTATCAACCTTGGAAGATGCCTGTGTGGTGAAGTATTTAGCTTAAACTGTTCACGTAGGAAAACAAGTGGGCAGTAGCATGCTCAAGGGTTAGAAACCTATTTGTGTCCATTTAAGGTTTGTGTTAATCTGATAAAACAGAACTGAACCAAATAGTTATCTTAAGGAAAGGTTTTTCACATCAAACTGAAGGGAAAAGGAAGGTTACAACAGGGCAAGGGCCATCTCTGCGGTAACACTTTTTGTGTGAGATTCATTTCCAGGGAGCCCCATAAAGCCTCTTATGACTGAAACTGAAGAAGCTTTGTAGCTCACATAAAATTCAGTTGTTTCAGTGGGATAGCAAGGCGTGAGTAGTTTTCTCAGAACACCGGCCTCTGTGTGTTTTCTCATCTGTGCATTGTTTCATCATTTTTAAAAACTGTTTTATTCTTGCTTTTATTTGTTGTTTTCTGACTGATGCCTTTTGCTTGGTTGGATAAAGATTTAAAAAACAAAAATACTCTCTTCCTACATGTATTCTTGTAATGTAATAGTATCAGCATGGACCTATAAATTGTTCTCATTCATTTAAATCTTCCTGTTGTACATGTATGTAGGCATATATAACTCTGAGTTTGTATCATACCTCATAACTTCAGTCTATTTTCTTCTTTTGCAAGGTACTGACTTGTGTAAGTTATCACTCCAGAAGGCTGATGATGTCACTAATTGAGATATTTTCAGAAACTGCAGACTTTCCCTTCACATCCATGGCTTGTCTGTCTTGCAAATAATTCCTTTCATTGTGTGGAAGCTGTGGGAGCCCAAAATGGAAAGAGAAAGTCTTTGATTGCCATCAGATGACATTATTCACAAGGGTACATTTTTAGGATTTAAAGACTTCCTTCTTCCATGTCATAGCTTCCATGTGATAAAAGTGACTATTTGCAAGTTGGACAAACTCGTGGGACTAATCTAATCCCACCAGTGATGTCATCAACCTTCTCCAGGTGTAACTTATGCAAGAGGATTACAAGCATTGTATGATGCACACATATCATTAAACAAAAAAACAGATTAAAAAGTAAAATGTAGGGGTGGAAATTCAGATAGACGTAGTACATCTGAATCACACAACTTTTAACCCAGAAAAACAAGATTCTTGATTGTTTTCTTGCAGTAACCATTCCTTCACCTATGATCCTGACTACTATTTCCATTTCTTTAAAAAGCAATAAAGCAAACCAAAATAATATTCCCTTGAAGTTAATGTCACGTATACTAAGAGAAAAAGTAAATTGTGCTATCCTGACCACTAATTCAGATGCTAATACATAGTCTTTCAACAAAAGTGACACACACAAAACAAAAATGTGTGCTAGTGGAACAAGTCAAAAACACATCCAAGTCTACATCAAACATCAGAGATTGACTTTAGGAAATACCATTGGAAAAAACAATAGTACAATGTTCTTTCAAATTGGTATGAATTTTGCTTGCAATGTTCTTGATTACCAATACACTTTCAAAGACAGCTGTAATGGGGGAGGTGGAAGAAGTACATACAAACCAATGTTCAGTTGTTCCACAGAAATGTAAACTTTCTTAACAGTCATTGTTCATAATTGCATCAATATAGAAATTCTAATTTTCAATTAAATTACTAGCTACACCCCCTGCTGAGACTCAATGCTTAAAATATTAATGCAAACTTATTTGCAAAGTTCTTCCATTTTCCTTTGTAGCACAATGTAAAAACCAAGGGTAGGGTGACTGGCTTACCCTCCAGTAATTACAAGCATAATAGGTTCATAAAGTTGCAATAAGTATGTAAATGCTTTTTTAGGTTTGAAAATACAGAAGATACCAATTTATACTAATACATATTCTCCCAGTTCATCTCCACACAAATTCTAGAGCATACAAGGGAACTGTTGGTAAAACATGCAATTAATAGGACATTGGTATGCTGGCAGGTAGCTGTAATTATCTTTTGTGTGTGTTGCAGAAGGCATTTGAGAATCATTTAGCAGTGAAAGATAAATGGCGTTGCACACTTTTACATCAATCCACAGACAGAGCAGCAGAAAAAGAACAGAGGAGGTAGACATTTAAATATCAATGCAGAAGATAAAAGAAAAACTGTTTAATACAGTTACTTACATCGTGGCCTACAAGTTCAGTCTGTGTAGATTTATCTGCTTGAGAGACAAGAGCGCTCTGTAAATGTTGGGCCTTCTCCTGTGAAAAAAAGACAACAAACATCAGGTCAGTCATGTTTCTCTTTGATGTTTCCTCAGGTAGTAACAACAGCAGCAGCATTCCATCAAGTCAATTTTGACTTATGGCCACTCTTTCCAGGGTTTTCTAGGTAGGAAATATTTGGAAGTAGTTTACCATTCTTTTCTTCCAGGGGCTGTGCAGCTTGCCCATGGCTACACAGGATCATTTTTGACCCTGGAGACATACTGGGGAATTGAACACCCAACCTTATACAGTGGTGCCTCGCTAGACAGTTACCCCGCATGACAGTTTTTTCGCTAGACATTGACTTTTTTGCGATCGCTATAATGATTCGCAAAACAGTGATTCCTATGGAGGAATTTTGCTGGACAATGTTTGGTCCCTGCTTCGCAAACTGATTTTCGCTAGACAGCGATTTTGACAGCTCCCTCCACGCTCACAATACGGGTGTTTTTGAGACCTAAGCTTCGCAAGACAGCTATTTAAACAGCTGATCGGCGGTTCGCAAAGTGGCTTTCCTATGGCCAATCTTCGCTAGACAACGACGATTCTTCCCAACTGGAACGCATTAAACAGGTTTCAACGCATTCCAATGGGGAAAGGCTTTTTGCTAGACAATGACGATTTTAATGGAACAGATTACCATCGTCTAGCGAGTCACCACTGTAACTAATTCACTGAGCTATCTAGCCAGCTCAGATAGTAACATCCAAATAACTACTGCAGACATTGCATTATAAAAGGTACCAGGCAAAGCTTATTATGGTGCTTATTCTAAATGCAAAATTCATTCCCCTGAAGCTGTCTTGCTAGTTCATTTACTAGGCAGATGCTAAGGCTTTTCGCCTTGATTTAGGTGTTAATTGAACAGCATTAGGAAGAGAGAACCACAGTGTGATATGCAAAGCTTTATTTCTTCAGAAACTAATTTAAGACAGTAACACTTTACAAAAGAAAACAAGACATCCACAGTCTTATTCTCTGGAGAAGTTACTAGAATTTTACACATCTAATTGTCTGTTATATAATGTGAAAAATGTAAGGACCATCACTTGCATTTGTTCAGCCAAGGGAATACGCATAAACACAGCAGAACCAATACTGGGGAGGATTATAAGTGTAAGTTAAAGATACAACTCCATGAGGTATAAGGGTGAAAACACATTTAGAAGCTTTTCAAAATGTCAATATTCTGGGTTTTATTTCCCTCCATTTTTCAGTACTTCATGTTTCCTCTAGTTTAGCTTCTTATTGTTGTTCTTTATAATCCACATTAGACTCCAAACACACCTCTACTGATGTCTCATCTAAAGACTGGGGGGGGGGGTCGCGGAAATTAGTATCTCACTTGTTTTTGTCAGTTTTGCACATGCTCATTCATAAACCTCTTAATGTCTTGTTTTCATGTTAAGTACAAAAACAATCACTGGAATACAAATCTAAGTATATATTTTCAGTAACATTTCTGTGAGAATGTACACATACTGTATAATTCTTCAATCCCACACATATTTACCTGAAAGCAGGAGTTCTTAAAACTTATTAACTATTCTAAATAGATATGTAAAAGAGAGCAGTGTTCCTTTATATTCTTTCAAAGCATATCCATTCAAATGTTTTACAATCCTTTTTTCTGAAACTGAGAACTGTGTCAGAGTACATTATTTGCAAAGTATGAATGAGACAGCCAGTAGCAACTACTCCTGCTAGAGGTGTATCTTAGATAAATTTCTAGTGCAACTCTGTAGGATCATTTACACAATTAGATTAGCATTAATTTTTTCCTGGATGACTTAGCATCATTTTCCATTCCTCCCGGACTTCTATTACACAATGGATCATTACATGACCTGGATCCAATATCCACTTCAGTCATTTTCTCTTACGGTTGAGCAGAGCAGAATAAGTTTCACGAAGAAGCTTCATTGCAACAGAATACGTGGACTCTGTCTCTTCTTATGGGATTTTAATAAAGAATTCTGTATGCCATAAAAGAAGACATAGTTACACGATTCTGAGGGAAGTTCCCAACTTATCTCTGCCTCCTGTTCCATCTACAAGCTGGTTTCTGCCAAGTTATGATTATTTGCGAATACCTGCCAAACATCTACAACAGTGGTTCCCAACTGTGGGTTCCCAGATGTTTCTGGCCTACAACTCCCAAAACTCCTGGCCAGCACAGCTAGTGATGAGGTCTTCTGGGAGTGTTAGTCCAAGAACATCTGGGGACTCACAGTTGGGAACCATAGATCTATTTTATTTACTTTTACATTTCTATCCCACCCATCTAGTTAAAGAATGCTGCTCTAAGCAGCTAACAGCAATAGAAATAATAACCTGCCCACAGCACAAACTTACAAATGATAAAAACAAACAAAAGAACTCTTGAGGAAATGGCAAAAAAACACAACTCTAATTGAAACACATGGGTCCACAAGAGTATCAAATGGGGAGGATGTTATCAAAGGGCTCTTAGAAAAGCTCAGCTTTCACACATGTCATAAAGGCCAGAAGGGAGGGAGCCTGATGAACACCAATAGGCAACATATTCCATAGTGTTGTGGCCACACTAAGAAGGCCCACCTCCTGGTGGTAGTGTTCTTGGACTCTCTAGGGATGATCGCTCGCAACTGTGAAGCCTGGACAGACACGGTGGCTCAGGTCAATGACCTTAAGGAGAGATGATCTGACAGGTAACAAGGTCCCAATCGTGAAGGGTTTTAGAAGTTAACACTAGCATTTTGAATTTGGCGTGGAAGCAAAAATAACTTTTTTTACATCTTGGCAAAGCAAAAGAGTTATGCTCCTTAGGTTTCACTGGTATAAATTCTGTCTCCTTCTTAGTTGTTCCTCCCCTTCAGCTCTTCAATTAAGGTTACGTTCACTGGTATAAATTCTGTCTCCTTCTTAGTTGTTCCTCCCCTTCAGCTCTTCAATTAAGGTTACATTCCTATCTAGAAAAAACCTGTCTAGAATTTGGAGTCATTGGTCAAAAGCCTGTTGGTGAGGTATGCTGGTGTAAGTTAAATTGTGTAACTCACTACAGTAAATTGCCTCTAGCTAGTGAGGAGCTGTTTGTACTAATTAAGTAGACACCTGTTGCACAGACACATGCCTTCTAAAACAACCAGCATCTCATCAGTTATTTCCAATTTGCTGTGATTAGTTACTCAATTAAACTTATGCATGTGCAAATAACCAACAAGATTGTGGCCATTCAAGTGAAACTGAGTGACAGTAGATAAAAGATGGCCATATTTTGCAAGGAAGATACAATCTGAATGAACACGACACACACACACACCATAAACAGAAAAATTCACAAGACAATTAAGAACAAAGGAAGATACAATCTGAATGAACACGAGTAAGATATTAAATGTAGTGGTGTAATGAGTTATGTTTTATAAATTCAACTATCCTTTTAATGACATTTTGAGGGTTTTCAGATACAATTTGACAAGAAGTTTGCAAGTTTCATACATTCTCTTATCAATTGTCAGGTGCTGTTTCAAAATTATACATAATACATAACTAATAAGCAGGGCAGCAATTAATAGAATAAGCAACGTTTGCAACATTGTTATGAGTAACAAGTTTCTTTTCAAATCCTGTAACAAGAAAGAGGAATGAATTACCTTTAAAAAGTAACTTGCCACACTCTGTTGCTTTCTGTTTTGCTTCCAGGTCATGTGCAAGGTACATGAGACTGAGTAATGTAAGTGACATAGTGAATAGTGGCATAGCAGGGCCATCAGAGGGGTTTTCCTGCCCCTCATTATGAGCAGGAACTGTTTTTCACAATACATTATACGTGAAATATTTCCTTTGCTATTTATATTCATGGTAATGGTCTCTAACCTAAAACGGATTTTATTCCGCACTTTCCATAAATCCATAGTACCTGTCAACTATTGATTCCAAGTGAGACATACATTACAAAAAACCTCCCTCAATGAAGATGCATCCAAGAAGAAGAAATGATCAATTACACCAGAACAGCCTTCTCCAACTTAGTGTCCCCCAAGGATGTTAAATTACACTATCATCTTCTCACATCATTAGCTACAATAGTCGGGACAATGGAAGCTATAATGCAAGACATCTGGCCACACCAAGCTGAGGAAGCAGAGTACAGGAAAAACAGAGTTTGAAGCACAAATAGGGATGTGCTAGCCATGGGTCATTTCTAAACAGAAAGTTCCTCCCTAACATGAGTAGGGCATTGACTGAATGTGAGAAAGCTACTGTAGGATATAACACAGAAGGAATTATTCTAATATAGGGTGATCAATTACAAATAATGCTCATTGTTTTGTATTGATTATTTTAATATAAATTACAACAAATTCCAGTATTACACATTGCATTAGTTCTGGACTTGCTCTGTTGGCATAGATGTCACTTTCTTTAAATTATAGGTCTCACAATAACACAGCAACAGCTTGGAACAATCTCTTGGAAGACCAATAACTGGAAAGCAAGTGTGTGTGTGTGTGTGTGTGTGTGTGTGTGTGTGTGTGCGTGCGTGCATGCGTGCGTGCGTGCGTGCGTGTGTGTGTGTGTGTGTGTGAGAGAGAGAGAGAGAGAGAGAGAGATGTCAGAGACATTAGGATTTGGCCAAATATTGAATACTCTTTGTGATTATTTTGTGAATCACACCTTTGAGCAGATGGGAAGCATAAGCAATTTTCAAGTGCTTGGAGAAAGGCTTCTGAAAACAGCCCTGGAGAGATTGGGCTCACAAACATAAATAAAAAGACATCACAGTAGAAATAAAAGGATTAGATCAGGAAGAGCAGGTGAAAAAGAAGTTTGTATCCATAGGTCATACATGCATTCAGAACTGTGCCACTATAGTAATAATCCCTTGTTTGCCTGGATACTTATTGATCAAACTCTCTGAACTCCATGATTCACTAGCTGCTCTTCAGAAATAAAGAAATCAGAATGAAAAAGGATAGGATGAAGCCATTTTTTCAATGACTCACAGCCAA